CCACCCTGCTTCATGGCATTTCCCTGTCTATCTACTTAGTCCAAAGGGTTCTGTATTAGTCAACACGGCTCTGGGGTGTTAGTGCTTGAACCTTTGTGTGTTGCCATCACTGAGATGTGTACTGGTTATAAATGTGTTCAAAGAACAAATAAAATACTTTCTCTGAAACTTTTCTGAGTTGGTAGCAGCATAACCTCTTGGAGTTAGAAGTTGTCAAAATTCTTACCATGTGCTTCTAAGGAATCAAGATAAATCTCTTTCCTTCTGCACATTTATTTAAAATTGTATCTGAAAAGAAACAGTTACATTCAAGTTTATAAATAAGTTGATAAATAAGTGCAAGAGCAGTAGATAGCAGAAATATAATGGATTGTATGACGCTAAAATCTCATGTACGTAGCTCCACTAAATAAGTATCTACGTGCATGTAATAACAAGAGAAAATAGCCAGATCCTGCAGCAGTGTACAGTGGCTAAACATGCATTTCCTGTAACTTTTTGTTTACCTTGCAAAGTTGTTTGCAAGTAAGACAATCTAATAAAACAAGTCCAAAGAAACTAAATCACAAGAAAGTTATATAGCACTTGCTGAATAATTTAAATTTATGCATTTCATCTAAAATTTATTAGGTTTTTATTTGGGTGTGTAAGCCCAAGTAGTATAACAGACTTCTGAACAGTAAAAAATCAGGAATTCTCTCATACAGAAATTTGGGGTTGTTTAGCACTACACTGAATTCATTTGCAGTATGGTTTCAAAAGCTCTTTGGAAGAGAAAAGGTAAGGGTTCTAAAAAAGAATTATCAAATAGTAAACCTTCTGTCAAAGACACGCCTGCATTATAACAAAATAAAATAGTGAGCTTGGCCATATAACCTACCAGGCTCTGAACAAACAAGACCAGGGGAGATTTAGCAGCTTTCACAGAGACATAACTCATAGGGGATAGCGTCAGTGACAGGTTTATAGGAATTCATGGTGTTGATACTTGGTTCTGCTGTCAGGATGATTCCTGTAAATGCTACTGGTGGGTTCTGGTGATTAAATAGTTAGTAATTTACTGTTATCAACATTCAACTATTTTGAGGTTTGCATTTACTTTAAAAGTGGTGCTTAAAAAATTCCAAATCCTGTCTGATTGACACTGAAATCCTCTTTACATGAAAGTTTGTTTATGAGCCATGATTCTTTTGACAGATTTACAAGTGTCTGTGGAGTTTTAAAAGACTATTGCCCAATAGGCATTAAGTGAGAGACGTTCTATTTTGTAAATATTTTCACTTATATTTGGGATTTTTAGAGAACTTTTTGAGCCAAGTACTGCATTAAATCTGAAGACAGTGGCAAACTGATAATCAGCAGTTTCCAGCTTTGTTTTAGTGTTTTGCTAATGCTTTCCATTTCTGTGGCCAAAATTTGTAGTGGGTGAAGCATGATGTACATCCAGTAATTTGTAAGGGCTTTCAAATACTGTTGCACATTTGTATTTTCTTTTTTTTTTTTTTTTTTTGCAATAGCTCACTTAAAAATAAACAGTTTTCAAAGTAGCATATTACATTCAATTTCACTAACATACAGTGCATACCAAGAAAAAGAACCAAAAGGTTTTTAAATTAGTGGAGAATTTGCATCTGTTTGAACTCACTAATGCTGAAACAGGTTGTTTATTTTCCCAAATGATTATTTTGGAATGAGATGGTGAGAGGAGATGTGTACATGTGGTGTACTAGTTGTCAGCTTCCTCAGAATTCCTTCAGACGTTTTCCAGAAAGCAGCTTTTTAATATTTATTTCAAAGGGGGAATGCATGATAGGATCCTTTAGCTCAGAATCAGTCTAATAAAAACTTTGCTGACGTAATTTTCTTTTAAAGAGTGAAGGTTTCTACTGTAGTGAATATCAGAACAAAATATAAAGAATTGATGTAATGTTCTCTCACTTATTTATAGTATTTTTAGCAAGGAAAATCAAAGCAAATAATGGAACTGGACTTTTCAGTTTTAGGTTTTTTATGTAATGTCTGACATGATATGGTCATTTTTTTTATTTTTAACAGTATATATCAAGTAATTTTTTGAGTAAAACCAACCAAAGACATATATATCCTTATATATGACAGGAAATTCAATGAATGCTAGTTACCAGAAACCTTTTATTATGTTGTGTAGAACTGAGGTAGGTCATAGAGTTGTATGGTAGCCTTTCATCATTATTACAAAAATAGTTGAACAAAGACCAACTGACTTTAACATGTATCATTACAACTGCCATTTGAATCAAAAACTTTTATTTAGTCCTGTCATGAAATTCTTTTTCCTCTTCAAAATGTGTCTTTATTTGTATCTGATTATTGATTCCTTTGAACACACTTCCAAGATCCTTGCCATAGCTATCCCAAGCAACTTTGATGATGTTCTAAGGTTCTTCAGCCGAAAAGGTTTGCAGTCCTAGCCACCATTTGCTTATAGATACTGGATAAGGAATCATTATTCGGCATAGAACATTTCATCATTGAAGGGAAGATTGAAACTGGAGATATTTCAGTAGGAATATGACATTTTGGAGCCTGCAATTCCAGCTGAAGTTCATGACTGCCATCAGTTATAGCCTCTATACCTATCGGATATGTCTTATTTTTAACATTAGCAAGTAAATAAATTCAAGTTTTTGTTTGTAGACCAAAAGTATAGGTTATTGAGGGAAGTATAACCTAAATTCAGTCAGTTAAAGGAGGAATAAGCAGTGTAGGGCAAATACAATGCTTTTGTGATTAACAAATTTTCACTTCATCACCCTTGTCCTTGATTCCTGAGATAAAACATTCTCAGAGCCCTTCATTCTGTTTTGGCAATTATCTGCAAGAACTTCAGGAAGTAAATGGATTTTTAGATAGATATCATCTAGATAAATATTGTCATCAGAGAATCATCCAAAGATCTCTTTTTAAGGCTTTCCAGTAATGTAAATTATTAGAGTCTGCCAGCAGTTACTTAACTTCTGTCTCTTTCAGTTTCACTCTTTCAAGATAATTTAAGCATTTGAAACTGGTATCTGCCCTCATTCCACTTCATCTCAAAATTTTAGAGTTTTAATCAGCACCCTAATTTCCTTATTCTATGTCATCTGTCTCATTTTTCTCTTCATTTTTGTTCCTACCTTCTTACTCTCCCCTCATGCCAAATGTTGATCTCCTTCTTAAGGATGTTAGGATTCTTCTTCAGAATTCACTACCCAAATCAGCTTTTTTTCTGTATGTTCTATACGTTGGTACTTCTTGTCCATATTTTTGTCGTCTGATTAAGGTTAATGTTCGTCATCTCAATTTAAAAAGAAATATCGAAGGTGGTTTATATGCGCTTTCTTTTTAATTTAAAAACAATTCATTCTAGTCGTGGTCGCTTCAATATTTAAATGGGACATGTCTGAGGAACTTTTCTAAATCTTGGGTTATTAAAGCTTGTAGGAAACATCCAGGAAGCTTTCAATAGTTCAGACAATACCATATGTTTGGTAAAATGCCTTTCTAGTGTATATTAGTGTGTAGATACTACTGTAGCTACAAGCTTATTATTATATATTCATATATTTATAATTCCATATAGATTTATACAAATTTAATTATGTAAGAATATTATAAAATAATTATTCTTATGCAATCATTGCAACCTTACATAACTGTAATAATCATGTACATTTACTGTGTTTCAAATGCCTGAACACATTATGTGTACTATTACTTTTACAGTTGTCATTTTGTATTTATTCAAAATAATTTCTAAATATTGCCTGGTGTGATTATCTGTAGATTTGTTTAAACAAAAAGAAAAAAACACAAACCTGTAGCTGCTACTCTGTTCAGACTTAGTCAGAAATTTACAGTACTGTGTCAGTTACTTTGCTGGATTTTTCCTACCTATAAAACTCTAATGTCTGTTGTCTTCCAAAGCAGTGCCACAATTTGCTTGAACGAAATCCCATTTCAATAAGTGTATTGTAATAGTCACGGAAAGTTCAAATTTTTAATAGTAAGCAGCATGTATCGTAAGGAAACAATCTTTAGATGTCATATAAACTCCCCTGATTTCTAATTTTTTTTGATAATTTAAATTATTAGCTGAGCAGCTAATAAAAGACTTCCCCAATCCAGTATGTTTAACTTAATGCTCTGTTCTGCCTACTGTCTGGCATACAACAAATAGCCGTTAACTTTACTCTGAACAGTTTGAAAGATTTGTCATATGCTGCAGGTTGCAAGACTAAATTTAGCTTCTTGGGAATGAAGAGTTGTGGGGAAAAAAATCTTGTAGCAATTCATAAATTCAGTTGCTAAATGGAAGGTAATTGCATTTTGATTTCTGTCTCCATTTTTAGTGTGTGTGGTGGAATCTACAAAGCTTACTAGAAGTTCTAGGCATGTTAAAATTCATTGGCAAAAACTGGAGCTTTTTTAGAAATTATCGTGGTATCAGTTCTTAAAATAACAGATAGATTAAATAGTAAACAAGTTGTACTTAGATGTAAGCTAACTTTCTTACAGACTTCCACTATTTCATATCATAGTCTGGAGTTTGAATACTGAAGTAAAGCTGAATTCCTGCATCTGTTTTAGGAAAAATGGTTGAGTGTAGGCTACCTGGCACTGATTGGTTAAAATCAGCCCAGATAAAAGGCGTCCTCCACTCACCGCAGAAACGAAGTTTGGAGCTTTAAGTATACCACCTAGAATTAGTGTTGAGTCTGACTGTGTTAGTAGCAAACCTTAGCACATTGCAGGAGTTTTAGGACAAAGTCATTACAAAATACAAATTAAAAACATACAGAATTTTCTCTTTGGTATGCTAGACTAGTATTGGTATTTTTATTTTAATGTAGTTACTGTATTCCTTAGTGCTTATTTATTTCCTCTAAGTTCAGGTAACTAATTTAGATGTAGGCTTCTACAGTGCTGGATTCTACTTCTGGTAGATAACTTATGCCACGTGTCTCAACTTCTTTTTGTAGCCTCTGAGAAGCAGATGAAGTTAGTTTGCAGAGAGTCTTCTGAAGAGCATCTCCAGCCCTTCAAGGGGAAATTAGAGGAATTCTTCCAGAAAGGTAACACATCAGAAAAAAAAAAATATTGGCAAATAGTGTAGTGGTTCACAAAGTTATTCATAATGTAAGCTGCATTAAGTATCTGTTGCCTCGGAAAATTCCTGTGGATTATATTCCTAATATAATTCCTAATGTGCCTAATGTATGTTAATGTATGTTAATATATGTTATACAGATCTTGGACATCACTGGTCAAAGATAATTGTTCCCTTGATCTCACACATTTCCCATCGATTATTTTGTACTTTTAAAAAAATTATTATTTGTATGCTAAATGAAAAATATATTCATCATCCTTAATTTATCAGAGGGAATATAAAGCTTCAAGTTTATAAAAGACTAGAATGAAAGATACTCTTTTAGAGAAAGTTCACATATATACAGGATGTAATGGCATCTTTTATCAATAATGTGAGCTTATGAACTGATTTATTCAGATTTAAAGATTTTGTCTTACGTGAGACAGAAGTAAGCATAAAAAAAGTGATTTACCGGGGTAGAGTCTGGAGACAATGGCTGAAATCCAAGGTACAGTTTGATCATCAATTCAAGACAATGTAAACACAGGTTGCTGTTGAAAACAACAGTCCTGCTCCCTCCTGCTTCCCATCTATGTGTTTCCCATCACCTGCTTCTGCCAGCACCATTGCCTCTGTGGTTGTGCAAAATATATAGAGGAATACATTTTCCCCCATCCCATTGTAAGAGTACAGACTTTTTGGGTAAACAATAGAAGTTCTGTATTTCTGACAACTGTATTAAGTATTTCTAAGAATTTAATTGTATTTCTCATAGAAATGGTGAACAGTTTAACAGTTTACTGTTTGAGACGTCTTAATGTCTTTTTAATAACTTTATTTCATAAGGCTATTTTATGTAAATAATTTGACAAGTGAAAACAGAATGTTTCAAAAGTAGCAGTTCCTCTTAAATTCTACTGTTAAGTAAGGTAATATTTCCCTTTACTGTTCTCCCAGGCCATGAAGCTCACTGGATATATTTATTTTATATCATTTTTCTTTTAATTACAAGTGTATTTGGATAGTGTTAAAGCAGGATATTTTTTACCACAGAACTTCTGAAACAAAAAATTGTAATGGAAATCTTTTTATCACTGCAGGACAATTGTATTGTCTTTTTAATTTATTTGATTGGAAATTTTCACTTTACAGTTTAATAATAACATCCAGATTGAGACAGTGCTATATATGTATATGTGTATATATATGTATTTCTACAGAGCCATTATGATCTCCAGCATGCTTCTTGATCTAGCTTGCCAAATATTGTAATAATTCAATTTTGCCCAAGTCTTGCCAAGACCCTAATCAAATAGTGTCTTTCACAATCATTTCACAGATTCTGTAATTCTTACCTGGTTCTCATGAGGACTGTTGTAGTTGGTCCAGTTTGGCAGCTAAGTACCACACAGCTGTTTGCTTACTCCCCCTCCATGAGGAGGGAGAGAGGACTGGAAGGATAAATGAAAGAAAACTAACGGGTTGAGATAAAGACAGTTTAATAGGGAAAGCAAAAACTATGTGCACAAGCAGTGCAAAATAAGGAATTCATTCACTACTTCCCATCAGAAGGCAGGTGTTCAGCCATTTCATAGAATCATTAAGGTTGGAAAAGACCTCTAGGATCATCAAGTCCAACCACTAACCTAACGTTGCCAGTTCCACCACTAAACCTAAGCACAACATCTACAAATTTTTTGAACTCTTGCAGGGCCATCCCTGTGATGCTTCTGCCACTTCCCTGGATAGCCTATTTCAATGCTTGATAACCCTTTCAGTGAAGAAATTTTACCTCATTCCCAATCCAAACCTCCCCTGGCACACTTGTCCTATCACTTCTTACCTGGAAGAAGAAGCCATCCGCCACCTTGCTATAACCTCCTTTCAGGTAATTGTAAGTGAGCCATAGTGTCCCTCCTGAGCCTCCTCTTCTCCAGGCTAAACAACCTCAGTTCCTCCAGCTGCTCCTTATCAGACTTATGCTTCAGACCTTAACCAGCTTCATTGGCCTTCTCTGGACATGCTCCAGCACCACAATGTCTTTGGGAGGAGCCCAAAACTGAACACAGGATTTGAGGTGTGGCTTCACCAGTGCCAAGTACAGGTGACAAGCACAAGTTTCATTTAGAAAAACGCATTTCTGAATTTCACATTTCCAGGAAAGCAGGACTTCATTACATGTAACCACTACTTGGGAAGACAAACACTGTAACTCTGAACTTCTCCCCTGCTTCCACCTTTTTTTCCCAGTTTATTGCTGAGCATGTGATGTCATGTGGTGTGAGTTATCCCTATGTTCTCCTTTTGCTTTATAATGTTATGCTTTATGGTATCTAATCATACACATTTAGTTTTGTATCATTTAACTTCTCATCTTTTGGCATCTTTGCTTCATCTACCTTATTCTGAGATGAGTTTTCAGTAGGTTGTCAGATTCCGTAACTATTGATCCTATTTCTTCATCAATCACCTGATTGATTTGAATCTTTATAATGGTGGGTGATACTTTCTGTGGCATTAGAATGGAAATCCTATAAAATCCTACAATGAAGACAGATAAAAATAACACAGAAACACATCTTGATTTGTGACACTAGAATAGGCATTGGACAAATGTCAAGCTCAGAGGCAAGTGTCTGTAAACTCAGCTGCTTCTCTGAAATTAGGAGTTAGCTGATAATACTGAGCATCTGATAAGCATCTGCTTTCAGTTTTGTTTGCTTAAAAAAGAGTTGCGGCTGGTTTAAGCAAATGTAAGAAAAAATTGTCTGTTATCTTTCTGCCAGCTCACAGCAAGTATCCAAAACTCAGATGATTTTCTGAAACTTCTGGATTGAAAATAAGGCTGGAACTCGTACACACTGAAGTTTTTCTTATATGCACAATTCCCATCATTTCTAGTCAATGCTAAATTGAAAATACTGTAAGGAAAAAAAATACTGGTTGACTTGAACTGAAATGTTTACATTTCCTAAGGATAATTAATACCAATTAAATCTAATGCTTGCTCTGTTGTAACAAAAAACACTGTGAGTGTTATGGAGACTGACATTCTAAAATGCTAGAGGGGATAAACTGTACTTCTTCTGATGTCAGTGCTGTTTTGTATAGCTGGATGTAATGTAGCCCAGTGCCTTTGACAGGGAATTACGTGCCAGAAGCTTTAGGTTCTATTCCCAGTTTAGCTACTTTGTGATTCTAGCAGAGTTGGTTAATATCCTTTTCAGAGAGCGTCTCACTTTTCTGTTACACAGAATGTTTAATAATGATTCTTGCTGGTTTTTGTAGTGAAAGATAATCTTTGTCAAGTACTTTTTGAATCCCACATGAAAGATGTCTTGTGTAAACTGTCTTAATGCTTCATCAGATATATTTGACATGCTCATGGTTTTTGAAAAAGGCTTAGATTATTCTCAAATTGGAAATAATCTTTAGTAGATTTAATTTTATGCAATAAATTATACTAGTTTTACTATAATACAAAAACCTACTAATTACTATAAATTAATATACACTTACTGTATTCCCATGGAATTACTGGGGGGTGGGGTGAGAAATGTGTTGGTAAGTATTTTCCATTTAAATTGCCATGATATGCAAGAAGACCTTTGAAATCATGAAATTAATGGGTGGGTTAAAATGCTCTTTTTAGGTCATGAAATTCTTGCTCAGAATTGCTTAGAATAAAACTTGTTTGACACCAAGCTATCTCATGCAAAAAAAATCAGAAGGGTTAGATGACTATGAGAAAGATGCAAAATACTCTCTTTTGAAAAGTAGAAAAGAAAAAGTTTGGTTACTGCAACTGTGCAGCTCACTGGAAGGGATACTGGACAGTGGCCATTTGCGTTAATTTTTCATAGTGTTTTTTATTCTCCTTGTGCATTCTCTCAAGAATAATAACAAACCAGAAAGTGAATGGTATAAAGGAGTAGGTGAATAACCTTAATTAAATTTATTTCTTATTTTACCACTTAGCTACTTTTATTTTTTGTCCATTTTAATAACCGTGGAAATGCATAATACAGATTCATGCAGGATCTTGCATAATCTGGTCCCAAATTCTTCTTCATTGGATCCAGGTCAGAAAGCATGTAGAAACTTTAATCTGGGTGTGGTTTCCTCCCTCATATTCTGGAATGTGCCCATCAAAAAGTCTTTATCCTTCATAGCAATTAGCATAGGAAGAGCATAGCTGCTTCTCTTCATTTCTCTAAGAATAAAGCATCTTGGTGATGAAGACTGTGCTGTTAGAGGAATTAATTTATTTTACAGCAGCATCTGGGAAGCAAGTAGTCTGATGTCAAGACAGAACAGTTTTTGAGATTTATTAACAATGGAAAGCAAAGCTATTTGGGAAAGGCACATGATACACTGAAGCATCCAAGGTAACAAGCAAGATGGAGAGGGAGGCATTTGGCAAATAGATTAATCTGTTGAGATTAATCCCAAAGTGAAAGAAATTGTCCTATGTTTAGAATTCTGTCCTAGCACTTAGGAAACATTGGTTAAATTAATTGCTTTGCTACAACTTTGCTACAACTGCTGTACTAGTAGTTTTACGTATACTACATGAAAGGTCAACACTGTGCAGTCTTTGGGACTATACAATAGAAAAATAGAGTCACAGACCAAGCTAGTCACTGTAGTGTTATTTCAGGAGCTAGTGCATTCTTCAGACAAGTTTAACAATTAGATGGAAGAAGTCTGTAAATCAGATTTTAACTGCTGAGTAATTTCTTCTTAGAATATCTTCTTAGGAGTAATTTCTTCTTAGGCTGCAGTAGCTACCTTGGCATGCATCCAGTCTAACGCACTTTTTAATGTATTTCTGGTACAGAAGGGTCTTTTGATCCACATTTTCTCATTTGCCTTTTAGAGTGCACGACATAGGATTGTTGAGGTAGTCCGTTGGGAAAGAAAATAAGAAATAAATTCTATTAGAAAGGCCATCAAGATGATCAGAGGGCTGGAGCTGAG